CAGGGCATATTGGTGCTGCAGAGTCCATCAAGCACTCTTTAACAAACTCCCCCTTCCGAGAATGGCTTACTGTATTTAGCAATTTTGTGGGATATCACAAAGCTGGTCTTGGTTGCGGCATCCCTGGATGTGTGAAGCTTGGTAAAAAGGCCTTGCTGCTTCTGCAGCTTAGTGAGTAAAGCTTCCGATGTTCGCGCCCTTTGAGCATCAGTCAGGTTTCTGTAGTTCTCTGCGTGTTTCGTCTGGTAATGCCGACTCACATTGTAGTCCTTAAACACGGCGATATGTTCCCCGCAAACTAAACGCACAGCTTTACCCACGACTTCAGTAAATAAATACTTAGCAGTCCAATTTTTGTTGAACCCTGCATTCGGCATCTACCTTTCTTCTTTTAGCATGAGCGGACATTTTTGAGGTTGTGTGACAAACGATCCAATCTTGCGTACGTCTTGATACACGTATTATGTACGTGAATAAAAACAACTTAAATAAAAGCAATGTAGCTTTAGTCCATGCATGAGGTTAAATTAAAAAATAAGTTTATTTTGTAATTTCCAATTAACCTTACACGGGCCGGCCAGAGTCAACCAAAGGGCTGTATGCGGCCCGGGGGCGTAAAATGCCCAGGTCTGGTCTAATCCAACAATGCAGTAACTCCTCCACGTTGGTGGTGATCAGATGGTTCAACTGAGCATTTTAGAAGCTGGAGTTTTGTGCTGTTGAACTGCACTGCATTATATAGAGCTGTCTGTTAGCCTAGTGATGTAAATGGGATGGACAATATAATAGAAACCCTTGTCATTTATTTCTGGTGTTGGAAAAGCACTTGATCAAGTGGGAGTTTTTAAGGGGTGAAAACTCATCACACTAGCAGAGAAAGGCTAGCATTGTTGCTTGTGAAACCACACTAAGTTAATCAACAGCTGGACACCAGTATGGTTGGCACAGAGTTGTTTTGTTTAAATGTAGATACTGTCAGTAGACCTGTCATCACGTCCCTTACACTGAGCAGAGTTGTTTACAGAAGAGCGCAGGGGCACGGATCTCTTCTCCAAAACATCCTGAGGCTGAATTCACGGTTTATCACACAGCCTGGCCTCCAGATTTTTGGAGGAACCTCGTCTCTGGTCTGGTGCTGGGCAGTGCAAAGTTGCATCTTGCTTACTAATCTGATTTTAATTGGTTGTTTTTGTGGCATTTGGCCAGTGTCATGGGACTCGACCAAATACTGTGTATGCATGCAGAAAAAAATGCAGTATAGCAGTGAGCTAAAAGCTGCACGGAGCTGAAGACCTGGCTGATTGTTCTTGGTATGTTACTAGTGACCTGTTAATAATAAACGGTCTGATTTGGTATTAGCAGAAAGCATATCTCTTACTATGGGCAGTGTAAGTTGATTTTTGTAATGTACTGGAATGAACAAAGTTTGGAAGGAGGAAATAACTGATGGCTAAAATTTGTATATGTAAAAGTGTGTCTGGTTAAAACTAGGATATTTGTTGTAGGTGATAAATGTTCTTTGTGGTGAGGAGACAGAAAATGGGAAGAAGTGAAGCATACCGTTTCAAGCTCACATGATAAATGTAGACAAGTTAACCAATTACTGTTACCAGTTAAAAGGCTGGCCATGTATGATTGGTAGAGCATGGTTGTTTTCAGCATGCTCAGGCTAAACACCATGTAGAGGAGTGTGACTCCTGGCTGTTAATTAGCTGAATGCTCTCACTATCCTGGGATACACTGTACTTTTGTCTCCTGGCTTCAGTGCAAACAACTTTGTGTGGTTTGGTGGTTTTTTGTGTTTTATAAATCTTGCTGCCTACAGTTTTTGTCCTGCTCCTTATGGTTTCTCTTAATTCATGTGTGGTTTGTACATTTGATATTCTAGTCTAAGGAACAAAGCCCAAACGGTAGCAGAGGAGACTCAAGTAACTGTGCCTTTAATGGAAGAGAGGACACTTTAGATGGATGTGTTCAAGGAAGCCCGGACGTTTCCTGCTGTAACGGAAATGTTGAACAAGTTGCTGCTGTAGATGTACAAGAGTGTGGTGGCTGTCAGATCATGATGAGTCGACCAGTGACTCAGTCAGAGGGCTAAGTTGGCTTTGTTCAGGGGCCCCTCGTATTTACATTGAGTTTGTAATGCCATTTTATATTTAGTTTTACCATAGACAGGCTTGATTTAACTTTTTTTGTGCAGTTACTAGGGGTGTGACGATGCATGATATTGTGTTCACAAGAATGAGATATATTGACACTTAAATCTTCAGTGACAACTGACTCAACTGAAAGTGAAAATGCATCTTAAATTGTTTTAACTAATCGTCTTGTAACGATTGTCATTTCAGTTCTACTTTGAGTATGAATCGTATGCAGTAAAAATGTAGCGCGGGAAAAAGGTTTTGCTACAAACTCAGCCTGGCTGACTGGCTTCTTCTGTATGATTTCACGAGTCTTCAGACCATAGAACATGAACTTCTAACTGAAATTGGGGGTGACCACCTATCCTGTTTTCACCCTCACTGTGCAGTGGCATCATCCAGCAATGGTGCTGCACTGACCAGTCACATATGGGGAAGATCAGGATGTGGCCAAAGAATGAAGGCTCTTGTTTACCTTGTTAGTTTGATCCTTCATTGTTGAATTTGAGCCACAGTTAACACGTGCATTTTTGTTAGTACTGGGTGTTAAAACAGTTGCTTCTGTCAGTGAAGACACTGGTGGTAGAATTGGTGCTATGTTAGCAGCATGGCTAACAAAGCAAAACAATGGAAACGAATGAAGCTACTTGTCACAATGTGGCCGTATCACGCCTGCGACCTCTCACTCCGTCACCAACACTGCACCACACATTGAAACAGTCGAGTTAATGTGAACATATGCCAGTTTGCCATCATATCGCAAGACATCTTTTGCCTTGACAAATATTGAGCTCATCACACCCCTAGTAATTGACCCAACCTGTGTGATCAGCTTGCTGAGTTCTTCCATCATAACGCGAAATGGTTCATCAGGACCAGTCTGTCAATCAGCACTTAGTGTAATTGAGCTCTTATTTTAGATGAGACATATCAGGCGCCTTGGCAAACTTGTAAAGCCCAACCTTAAAAGGCTCCAGGTTTTCCTGCTGTTGGTGGAAATTTGGTAAATTGCACATTTCTCGTTGCTGTATGCACCACAAAAAGTGTTTTAAGAAATGTTTTTTTCGCCCATTTACATTTGTACTGCACCTCACCTTTTATCTAATCTAACAGATTAGATAAAAGGTGTATGATTGGTAGAGCATGGTTGTTTTCAGCATGCTCAGGCTAAACACCATGTAGAGGAGTGTGATTCCTGGCTATCTAATCTAACAGATTAGATAAAAGGTGGAGTAAGGATGAAGAGTGTTCATTTCTTGTCTTTGGTTTTTACAAGCTGTGTTCTGTTTCTTCCACAGGTCCTGTTTTGAGTGGTGATCACAGTTCAGCTGGTCAGGCTTTCTCCAGTCCTGTGAAGCTCCAGCAGCAGCATTCAACTCGTCTGTCTCTTCCTTCTTGGTGAACAGACATGCCTCCAGCAGTGGGTGGGCCTGTGGGGTACACACCTCCTGAGGGTGGCTGGGGCTGGGCGGTGGTAGTGGGGGCCTTCATCTCAATTGGCTTCTCCTATGCCTTCCCTAAATCCATCACAGTGTTCTTCAAAGAAATAGAGGTTATCTTCGATGTCACACCCAGTCAGGTGTCCTGGATCTCCTCAATCATGCTGGCCGTCATGTACGGAGGAGGTGAGTAGTGCCTATGCTGTCCAGAGCTCCAAACATGTCACACTAGTGCCACTCGGTCTCCTAGATGGTGGCACATGTGCAACTAAAGCATTTGATCCATTCAGCTCCACACTGATTCTGATGTTCATGCTGTATCAGAACAGCTGACAGGAGAACTGTGCCAGACAAAATAGTCATGTAGGCTCATTAGTAAGAAATCACCATTGAAACCCAGTTTCTTCTGCATAGAAATACCAGAATATACTTTTTTTTTTTTAAGCTTTAGGTCACATCTAAGATGATGGCTCTCTAACGTTATAGATGATTCAGAAAACGAGGAAAGCGTGCTCTGTCGTGTCACTTTCATTCTGGAGGATGTTTGACTTTATAATTTTACTTGGAGGCTTTTCAGTGGTACACATCAAACTGACTGTGGCTTCAGCTACATTGCTCTATAGCAAAAGTGTCAAACAAATTTTGGTCAAAGTTAGAATTTGGAAAGGGCACATTTCACATCCTTCTGTCTTGACTGTATGTAGTTTAAAGGTTTGAGAGATTTGATAATTTTGTTACTTGCAATATCAGATTACAATTTACAAAATGCCAGGGTAATGTCATGAAATGTCTTAGAAGCATGTTTAGTTGCATAGAATCATAACAAAACAAGCTGTATTCCTGCCTCCTCACCTTTCACAAACAAAAACAAGCTTCTTTTTTTTTCCAATTCTGTTTTTACTCTCCCTTTCTGTTTTTCCCAATTCTGTTTTTACTCTCCCTTTCTGCTTGCATTATCAGTCCTTCGTCTCTTCCATTCATTCAGTGTTCTCACAGCTTAAATAACATTGCTGGTGGAAGAAGACATCGTAGGAGAAATGGATACTTTGGAGTGCTTTCAAGTACACATTTGTTTTACTGTGGTCTGACAAACCGCCAGAGAAAACGGGGCAGTGGAAGGCATATTGAATGATAACTAAATTTTCCAGTATTTGAGCAGTGCTGTAGTATAAGAATAGCTTTATTAAAAAAAAGACTTTATTTACTAGCAGCTCTAATGCTCAATCCCACTGTAGATGTTCAGCAGATACAGTGGGTACAGAAAGTATTCAGACCCCCTTAAATTTTTCACTCTTTGTTATATTGCAGCCATATGCTAAAATCATTAAGGTTAATTTTTTTCCTCAATGTACACACAGCACCCCATATTGACAAACACACAATTTGACATTTTTGCAGATTTATTAAAAAAAAAATGATTTTAGCATATGGCTGCAATATAACAGAGTGGAAAATTTAACGGGGTCTGAGTACTTTCCATACCCAACTGTATGTTTGCCACATTTGCATGTGGGCGGTGCAGTCTTTTAGCCTACATTGCTAATTGGCACTAAACGTCAAGTGTCTACTTACCTGGGGACAGGTTTGTACCAAATTTTATGGCAATCCAATCCCCCCCGTGTGTGTGTGTGTGTGTGTGTGTGTGTGTGTGAAAGGATGCTGTCTGGACTCAAACCTCTGACATGGCACACACACTTTGCCTGGGATATGGTGTGCCTCACCATAACCATAAGACTATTGGGGTACCCCACCAATTCATCTATTAGTGAAATATTTCATTCCTGTTCAAAGTGGAGGACCAAGAATGAATCTCCCTCCCAGAACCTTGGGTGTCCTACTAGGCCTGAACGATTTGTCTTCAAATCAAAATCGTGATTTTGAACAGAAGGCAACTTTCAAATCACAAAGCTGTGATTTAAACATTAGACTGGAAACAAACGAGGTCCCCTGCAGAATTCAGGTACCTACACTTGGCCCTGCTTCACATGAAACCTGCATGGTAAATGAGTGAGAAGACACCAGTAAGTTCCACTTTGCTGCTAGCCACACTGCAATGGCCAGAGAAGCCAGCACAACCAAACATCAAGTACCAAGTGACACCAATGTTGGTGTCAAAACACAATGGTGGGCTACCCCGATCCTGTGGTTTGGTTTTAGACCAAAGGCTGCACATCAGAAATGTGCTGAACGTGCCTGGCTAAGGTAGCAACAATGCAAGGCAACACATTTCTTCTGGCATTTAAAAAAAAAATATTAAGGGACAGTTTCCACCTGTCCCTTAAATACATTTCTGGCATTTAAAAAAAAATATTGCGACAGTTTCCACCTGTCCCTTAAATACAGGTTCCCTTGTTGCTGTTGTCCTGTATTGGCTCACTGCCCATTTTGGATTAATACAAGATGCAGTCTGTCATTTTAAATTTGTCCACAGGGGTGAGCATATTGTAAAGCTAAGCCAGTTTAGAAAAGCTGTGAGCTCATAGATTACAGGCTCTGTCATCTTCACTCATGTGGAGCACAGCCTGCTGGCTGTTGAACAGCACTGTCCCTCAGCACCAGTCATTCCTGTGAGGATGTTGGGTTTGTCTTCCTGCTGTTATTAGCAGTAAAGCTTGTTTTCTGTAATTCAATGATCACAAGATTTCTCTTTTTTAAAAGTTCCCCAATCATTCAGCTCTAGCCCCTACAGGTGGTCTTGGGCCCGTGACGCACCAAGCCAAGGGTTGGCTGCTGTCAGGCCATAAGTGGGTGGGTGTCGCCCTCGTCTTCCTGGTGTCCTACATTGTTGGCACAAGTCAGATATTGTGGTGGCTTTTCAGCATGTTGAATCAGCAGCGCACCCTTTCATGATTTCCCTAATTTAGTGGGTATTCTTTTTTGTTTTGCCTCAGACCTCCACAACCAGAACACCATTATTTGCAACTTATCACAATGGCTGCTCCTAGTTGAATATAAATTAGCTGCTTCATTTACATCTTGCCTTTTTGAATGATGACTATAGATACTACCACCTGCTGGTATGGAGAGGTATTGCCCTCATGCTGGTATGGAACGTGTGTACATGCCAGTTGGTGATTGGCTGTAGTCTGTACAGTATTCAAGTGCCTCTTGACATGTTTGGCACAGAGTTGACGTGATATGATGCCAATTTGCCTGCGTCACTGGCTTGGGCAATCTTTGCCCTTTAAACTTGAGGATGGCATCTGCAGTGCTGCTTAGAACTGTATCTTAAATTTGGTCACTTGAAAACAACCAGTTGTTGCATTTGGGTTAAACGGTTATATTTGCACACCTGCAACAAGGACCTTTGTTTCCGTTAAGGCAGGAACCAAAAGGCTCAACCAGTTTCAGGTTGGGTTCAGATGTTCTTTTCATAGTTTCCTCTCAATCAGCACTCCCTACATGCTAAATCCATCACTCGGCTTGCCTACTCGATTTGAATTCATCCAAATATGGAATGTTTCATCCCCCCAGAGCGGCATGACAGCCCGCAGTTTTTATTCAGTAGGGTTGGGTGTTTAGGAGAGAAAACTGAGGAGGAACAAAGGGGAAGGAAGTTGCATAACAGACAGATGTTTGTCTCCATTTAAAAAAAAAAAAAAAATTCTCATTTCATAATCCAGCCTTAAACATTATTCCTGCTTGAGTGAAGTTTTAGTTCAGTTTCCTGGGAATAGAGTACTAAAACCATGTTGGTCAGACTGGTTATACATGGAGCAATGCACGTACACATGCGGGTTTCCGAGAGGGGGTAAAAAAAAAACCCCACACAACCTAGTCATAGTGGTTGGGTGACACCCATGACACTTCAACCTGAACTACAGTCCTTAAACGAGAACAGACTTGTTTTCAATGTAGCAAAAATTAAAGTATGAGATGTGTCATTGTATACCACTTGAACTTGTTCAGTAGCCAAGCCTTTAAGAGGTAAAACTGCTTGGTGTCACACTCAGTGGGCAACTGTCTCAGGAGTAACAATGAAAATGGGTAGAGGCATAGCGTGTATTGGATGCTCCTATTTTCTTACCCCAGGGTAGAGGCATAGCATGTATTGGATGCTCCTATTTTCTTACCCCAGCCTCTAGGGTGTTGGTGACACAGGCATTAGGTTCATCTTACCTTTTTACTGTTTGGCAGTTTGGTCAGGTGCAGCGAAAACGGCGTTAAGCTTCAAATGGCTCAGAATAAAGCCACAAAGCTTATGCTGTCCTGTCCATTAGGAGTGAGCCAAGGTACAGAGGACATGCATGCCAGTTTTTAGGAATATAGTAAATAACCAAACTACTCAAATTATGTAAAAGGTCAACATAACCTAGAACACATGCCATGTAGAGATCTATCACAATGTGGAATGTTGGAATCTAAAATACCCTGTAAGGCAAGTCTTAAGGACTAATGGGGGAGGGTGCTAATTAATCCTAACATTGACTTGAACGACTTTGGAATGTTATTGGCTGTTTAGTTTTTAGTCCACTTTATTGATGAGATTTTTGTGTATGGACTGGACCCCAGAAGAGTTGCCCTGGTGACAGCTGAGGATCTGAATAAAGACTGTGGTTACCTCAGAAGGATATGAACATGTTTGTAGTGACGGAGCTGTACAGACTGGCTGGGAAAGTGAATGTCAAGACAGCAGCTTCTCATGGCTGTTGACTAACTCTCTGGGTTAGACTGAGCGGTAGTTGGGCTCCCTCATGTCCCTGACCGTTGTTATTGAGCAATGAGGCCATGCCCCCTACATGTTGCTCCTTTCTTTTCTGTTTTTTTAAATTAATATGCTGGAGAGCAAAATGTTGCAGTTACCCTTTAAACACATCATCTGAAATTCAGCCTCGTGTTGGTTTAACACGGCTCTCTGCATCTGAATGGCTACTATCTTATTTAATCTGTTAAAGCTCACTGCAATCTGAGTTGTGGTTTAATAGAGGGCTTTCAGGTTATTTAGTCTGAGAGCAGTGAACAAGTTCTGGTCATAACCTCCATGAAACTCTGGACAGAGCCAAGTTAAGTTTCCCTGTTTCCAGCTTTTATGCAAACCAAATTGTCTCCTGGCTCCACCTTAATGAGTGGTTTTTTTTTTTTCCCAGTTCACAGCAAGAAAAGGGTTGTGTATTTTTTTTTCCAGTTCACAGCAAGAAAAGGGTTGTGTATCCCATAAATGTTGGTCTGTTGCTTTAAAGGTTCAGTGTAGCTGAAGGGCTGGTGCTTGGAATAAAGTAGTTGCAGAAATGTTGAGCCTTAACTGTTGGGGTCAATCCAGTCAGCTGGTTCTCCTGCCCTTTTTTTTTTTTTTGACTCGTCACTAATGCTGCTCTCAAACATTTCAAATGCTCACTGAATCTGCTCAAATGGAGAATAAAATCGAGATTACTTTGATCTAGCACGCCAAGTAGCTTCTGCATAAATGAGACAGGAAAAGTTTGTCACAGCTGGGTTTACTCTGGAAACATTTGCTCACTTGTGAATGCTGTCTGTGTAAAGCTGAGGACGAGCCTGTTTCTTACACAAAGAGCAAATTATGGAGGGAGCGGGAGAGTTTATACTATAATCTGACAATGCCACTCGCTGCCCTCTTTGTTTTGCCAGCACAACAAAGACTGTCAACACTGATTTTTGTTTATGTGGGCCTGAGTGAGTGGTTAGTCCTTGTACAGCTTCCCTTTTGTGCTCTGAGGATGTGCTTTAGTAGACCATGTGCCTCTTTCAGAAGGCAGCAACCCACTGACACATGCTCTGTGCCAGGCAGGTAGGCCTTCAGTGCCAGACGCAACACAAGAGAGGTATTTAGTGAGTGAGTGCGTGAGTGAATGCTCGTGCCCCTGGCCTTTATGATCAGCTGCCAAGTTTCAAGGGCAAAGCCACCATTGTGAGTGTGTGTGTGTGAAGGACCCAGGCTGGTTGTGAGGAAATGGATGCCGGCTTAGAACACACTGATCCTATTGTGCTCTGAGATCATTCACATTATTGGGTAACCGTCAGTAATATGGATAAGATTAGATAATGGTCTTGAGTTTTAAGATTTGACACTAATTTGCCAAATGAGCAAAAAAAGATTTGATTTGTAGCTCACAATATAGACGGATGTACACAATAGATACAGAAAAGGTGTAACAGTTGCTGTGTAGTTTAGCATCTTGGCCAAAATGGACTAGTCGGAAATCAGGAAAATGTGTGTGTGTGTTTGGGGAAAACTGTTTCCCTTGTGGTTGAGGCAGCTGATGTCACTGTCTGTATATGAAGCCTGTAACCTTGCCACTGTGCTGAAGCAGCAGCAACTGTCTGTCCATACTTCTAAACCCTACTCTGATTGTGTCATGAATTTGTATATATTAAACAAGTGGTGGTGGTGGTATGGGGCTTTTGTGTTGGCTGGTAGCAGATTTCTTCACCAACAATGCAAAAAGCTTTCCCATTATAGGAACCTGTTGAGCCTAGTAACGCTTGTCACCAGTTCTGCGTTTGTTTCCGCTGCCCGCTCTGGAGCTGTGTTCCAAGAGCTAAATTTCAGCACCCCTCAGGAGGTGGTATGAAAATAAAGTTCCAGGAATGTGAGGGGGGGAGGAGGTGGGTGTGCACAGAGCTGTCACCTGTGATTGGTTAAATGCCAGTCGTCACACTTTAGCATTGTAAGCACAGTGTGTAAACGCGCTTGCTGGTTTAGAGGTAAAATGAGGACCTGCTTGTTTAGGGGTAAAACAGGGACTTGATTGAGTGGACCATGGGCAAAGTGGTGAAACCCCTTTTCCATCGCCTGGTACCAGCTCAGCTTGCCTTATTTGTTTTCCACAAGTCAGATGTTGGGGCTAATACCCGATACTAATTTTGGTATCAACTCTGATGTTCCAAATGAGCAGAGGCGATACCAAACAGCGAGTTAAACTGCAAGGTGTCCTGGAATAAAGCATCAGTTCTAAATGAGATATTTTAGCCTGGAGAGAGTCCCGGCTCTGTGGAAGATGTCCGGTGTGGTCCTGGTTCCTAAAATATCTCATCCTAAGGAGCTGAACCATTACAGACCAGTTGCCTTGACCTCCCACCTGATGAAGACCATGGAGAGGATTGTCCTCAGCCACCTCAGCAACCTGGCATCGGAGTAGATTACGCTTATCTACATGCTGCTAAGTGAGCTCGGCGGTCTACCCACTACAGTTTGCATAGCAACCTGGCATCAGAGTAGATTACGCTTATCTACATGCTGCATCCGTTTAAGGCTGAGCGACTGTCAAACGTGGTAGTCTGCAGCATGGGGGCACCCCAGGGGACTGTGCCTCCCCCTTTCTGATCACCCTCTACACGATGCACAACTCCAACCAGTGTCATCTACAAAAGTTCTCAGATGATGCCGCTATCGCTGGATGTGGGAATATTGGGAGGTTGCTACTGACTTTGTGGAGTGGTGTGAGAAAAATCACCTGGTCCTGAACACCAGCAAGACAAAAGTGATGACCCTCCAGCGGAAATCACCATCACTCATGCCGGTGAGCTTTCAGGGCTCAGATATTGAGATTGTGGACACCTTTAAATACCTGGGTCTCCACCTCAACAATAAACTGGATTGGAGCAACAACACAGATGCCCTGTACAGGAAGGGCCAGAGCTGCCTCCACTCTGAGGTCCTTTGGTGTGTGCAGGGCACTCCTTTGGACATTTCATGATACTGTGGTGGCCTCTGCAGTTTTTTATTTTTTATTTTTTTATTTTTTTTATAAATGCTGTTGTGGGCTGGGCAGGAGGCAGCACAATCAGGGACAGAGAGACTTAAGCTGGCCAAGAGAGCTGGTTCTGTCCTGGGCTGCCCTCTGGATTCTATTGAGGAGGTGGCAGACAGAAGGATGCTGGTAAAGCTAACATCCATCATGCACGACCCCTCCCATCCCCTGCACCACACAGTGGTGGCTCTGAACAGTTCTTTTAGCGCAAGACTGTTACATCCCCAGTGTAAGGAGTGTTACCATAGGTCATTCCTCCCCACAGCAATCAGACTGTACAATACATCACTGCAGGGATAAGCTAGGTGGAAGTAGGAGGGACTATGTAATGGTCAACTGAGGTAAAATGCATGGTTAATATGCACATATGTAAATTCTGTTCTTGATTTCTTTCATACATTATATTGTCTTTTGTGTATTTGAGTAGTTTTTCAGAGATCCTCATGGCTGAAATGCAGGTATTTCCCCCACTGGGGGATTAGTTGTGGGAGGATCATTCTTGTTCTTGTCTTGCATATACTATATTCTGTCAGTCTGGTTTTAGGTACTTTGGAATTTGTTTCTCAAGATATGTTTGTTCTTACGGTGTTTTGTTGCTGCTGGAACACAGGAATTTCCCTTTTGTGGGATCAATAAAGTCCTACCTACCTAAAAGTAGTGGTATTTAATGCTAACCACGTCATTGTAGTAACTAAAAATGGCCACATACTGAGAACCAAGAACGGCATACATTTGATGTCTTCCCCTCTAAACAAACTGGCACAATGGAAAAGCAAGTATGTTGGTGTCTGTCAACTTGTGAGGTTATGCTAGGTGATGGTAAGAAGCCTGGGGTGGACTGCTCGTTACAATTCAACAGTGGAGTTGCAGCTGATGTTAATTTGAGAGACTGGAACCAGAATTTTATTTATTTTGCTTAAAGTGATTGAGTCACTATTCAGAATAGCTGCACTTTTTGGCCCAGCTAATGAACTGAGTAATTGTTTCAGCTCTAAACACATTCAGTAGTTAGGCCTGAGGAGCGATTATCTCTCTGATCTGGTTGTACACAGAGCCTCTGTATAGATCGTCCAGGGCTTTACTTTGTATTCACAGCCAGCAGAGCCAGTGTCAGCCTGGGTGCATGTGAAGGCCTATTCATAGTGAGCCTGGCATGGTAACTCAGACACATGGACGCCTTCAATTCCCTTGTTCTCTTTTCTTCCTCCTGCTCTCTCCTCCCACTTCTCTCATTACCTTTAATCTCATATCAGTTTGATAAAATACCTTACACTGTCAGGCTCCTTCACCTGTTCATTTACTCCTACCCTCCTTCCTTTTCCACATCTGTCAGTCCCTTTTTTTGCCATCATAGTGCCACCTGCTGGTATAATCATCACTTGCAGGAGTGACACTACTACTACACTTTATTAGACTTGAATGTTGTCCAATAAATGTTACCATTTTGGTTGTGATTATCCAGCAGTGGCATTGTGAGTAGACGGAGCTTGTTTAGCTCACTAAGCCTTTTATGGTTGGGGGTGTGTTCTCTCCTGGCGTGTTCTGTTTCCAAAAAATCTAAAATGTTCCAGGGGTTTGATTTAATTTTCATTAAGTTTCTGTGGGTCAGTTACCTGCAGCAGTAACTTGACAGCACAACAGCTGTCGTGTCAACACACTTGGTGTATATATTGGTTCCTGTTGTCACCCTCCTCTTCTTTCTGTTCAGGTCCAATCAGCAGTATCCTTGTGAACAAATATGGCAGTCGACCAATCATCATCCTCGGCGGTTGCCTGGCAGGCTCAGGACTCGTTGCCGCCTCCTTCTGCAACACGGTGGCGCAGCTCTACTTCTTCATAGGAGTAGTGGGAGGTCAGACCCATTTCCAGTTCTGCACATAAATGGACCCTCTTAAACTGAGCCGGAGTAGTTTTTAACTGGCTCTACTGTTGTACACATCGCTTTATACTTTAACTATCCTGTTAAGTTCACTAAAGGCTTATCCTTCTCCCTGGTGCATGTTAAACGGTCAAATGCATCAAACGGTTCCTAAGCAGTAAACTGTTGTAAGCTATCCTGCCTTCATCGGGGTGCTGTCCACTTATCAGTCATGTGGCCTTGTTCACAGTAGATACCAAATTTTAAAGAACATTACCATCTTTATTAGATGGTACAAAATGTTTTCTCCTGTGGACAGATGCAATATTGCACCCAACTTTTAAAACGTTCTTTAAGTACACTTTTCATCTTGGTCGGTAAAAAGGCTGAATCCCAACACCAGTAAATTGTGCTTGTTCAAACATTTATTTCAAATTAATGCTTAAATGCAGCATTGTCAAATTTCTTCTTATGCGTAACCCAAACTATTTCCAGTCTGCAGTCAATCTTGATGCACATATTTCTCTAAAGAAACTATTGTTGGAAAATAAACCATAGAATCTACAAATTAAATGTATTCCTGTCAGACTTGGAGCTCCCATTTTACAAATCCAGGAAAGCTTCCTGTTAAACAGCATCTTCTCTGAATCTTGTACTCTGACCAATCTGTTCATTTTTGACTCCCGTATGCGTTGGAAAAGACCGGATGATTTATTTGACCTATTAAAACACTGTATGTGTTAGAAGAGACTGGATGATTTATTTGACCTATTAAAACACTGATTATATCAACTGCTGCTTTAAAATGAGTTTTTGTGGTGTATAAAATCACTCCTCCCACTTGTCCTTTTTATCTGGATGTGGATGGTTGGGAATTGAACAAAGTAGTTTTGTTTGCCATCATCTGTTCATGTAACTCTCCTGCTCTCTCACTCACTCTCCAGGTTTGGGACTGGCATTCAACTTGAATCCAGCCCTCACTATGATCGGGAAATACTTCTACAAGCGGCGGCCAATCGCCAATGGCATCGCTATGGCAGGCAGCCCTGTGTTTCTGTCCACCCTGGCTCCAATCAACTCCTGGCTGTACGATCAGTTTGGGTGGAGAGGCAGCTTCCTCATCCTGGGAGGACTGCTGCTTAACTGTTGTGTGGCCGGCTCCCTCATGCGCCCTATTGGGCCCAAACCTCAGCTGGCCAAACCTGACTCAGAGGCATCCGGGGCTGTAGGTTCAGCTCAGCCACAGCCTAAGACAATCTTGCAGAAAATCAACTCCTTCATTGACCTGACGCTGTTCAAACACCGTGGCTTCCTGCTGTACCTGATGGGCAATGTCATCATGTTTTTCGGCCTCTTTGCGCCACTCGTCTTCCTCTCAAATTTTGCCAAGAACAAGGACATCAGTAAAGAGAAGGCGGCCTTCCTGCTCTCAGTGCTGGCTTTTGTCGATATGTTTGCCCGGCCCTCCATGGGGCTGCTGGCCAACACCAAGTGGGTCCGGCCCAGGATACAGTACTACTTCGCTGCTGCTGTCCTTTACAACGGAGTGTGTCACGTGCTGGCGCCGCTGTCAGTGGATTACACTGGATTTGTGGTCTACGCCATCTTCTTTGGTTTTGCTTATGGCTGGCTGAGTGCTGTGTTGTTTGAGACCCTCATGGACCTGGTGGGGGCCCAGAGGTTCTCCTCAGCTGTGGGTCTGGTCACTATAGTGGAGTGTGTACCGGTGCTGTTGGGCCCACCGCTAACAGGTAAGACGTCCAGCATGCATCATGGGGAAAAGGTTGGCTTTAAGCAGGGGGTGAACATCACACCAATATGCACCTAAATCCCTTAATTTTAAAGGATTTTATGTACATCGTTATACAGACTTATGAATTGAGAATCCGTAAACTGTACAAGTTTTCGGGTTACCTCTAATGAAAAAGTAATTTTACCAGACAAACGGTGAGGATTAGTGATTAGCCCTTGGTCTTTCTGGCAGCTGATTTGGTCACCTTATTGTGCTGCTGTCCTCCCCCACACACTGATCAGTCAGTCCAGAAGCCATGGCCACATGAGGGCACAGTCACCAACTGATTTGGAGAAAGTCTGTAGACTTGTTGCTTTTTTGAAAAGCCACTCGAGGGCTCTTAAGTCACCACAACTAGTGAGGTCGCTAAATGGCACCATCAGTGTACTGTTGTATAAGGTCGCGAAATGGCACCATCAGTGTACTGTTGTATTTAGATGGCATAAGCCCTACGTTTTCTCCAACGCCCACACTAAAGATGGTCTGAGGGTTGGGATCCACATGAAACACCATATTTTCTTCTCTGTTCATTTATTGCAGTGAGTTCGTGTTTGATGCATCAAACTGTTGCATATCTGTTCTTCTTGGTCAAAAATCAGGGCTGAAACTGATGATCTGGGTTGTCAACCTTCCATGTGTCTTGATTTGCTTTAGGTTATAAATAATGCTGATTATTTCTCACAGCATGAGGTGGTGGTTTTAGTAAACCCCCTTTGAATCCTCCCAGTTGATAGCCTGGAACCAGGGACTGAGAAATGATCCATTAAGTGCTGCAGCTGTACAGGAAATGCATTTCAGTTTTAGCTAGTGGTAGCCCTGTATGAAAAAGTGCTGATTACTGTATTGCTAGCAATTGTAGAGAGTACCAGTACAGTACTGCACATTGTTTTGTAACGGTGCATGAATGAGGAAAATCATGAAAGCAAGTCAAATGTTCAACTGGAGCTGTCCTGTCTTTTGTCCACCTCCAGGTAGTTTTTATGACTACTACAAGCACTATGACTACACCTATATTTCCTGTGGCATCATCCTCATGGTCGCAAGCGTCTTCCTCTTTGTGGGGATGGGCATCAACTACCACCTGCTGGCACGAGAGAAGAGGGAGGAAGAAAGAAAAGAAAAGGAGGAACGCGCTGCTATGCTAGCACCCCCCCCTCAATCAAAACCAGATGAGAACGTCCTAGCCGACGTGACACTGGAGGAAGTTGCCAAGATGGACGAGGACACGGTATAGAAAATGGACTCGAAGGACGCACATGCTTAGCGGAAACGTACACAAGTTGCAGTTCCTCAGTACAACCACATGTCTCTGTAGACAATTTACCATTTTATATACAACCTTAAAGCCATAGACCCAGTTTTCTCATTTAAACACAGACCTGCTGCAATATTTAGCTGTTACATGTTTCAGTGTGTCAAGACATCTAGATTTAATATTTGACGTGCCTTTTTAAAAAAATTTTATTTAACTCATGTCCTCCGGGAGCGTGTGCACACGCCACATATAAACACCAGACGCACAGCAGACTGGTAAGAGACAAGTCCAGTCAACTAGTGAGGACCTGACCTTGGGGTCGTCCACCTCAATGAAACCGTGCATCTTGCTTAGATTCCCCTCGCATACTGCATACACACTCGAGCATCGCTTCACTCAAGGGCTGCACACAAATGAAGGGCACAGTAGTTATAATGTATCTGTTCACATATTGGGTTAGAGTGGGGAGTTAATGTAGTGTCCTGCATTTTATGCAGGAGAACAGCTCATCACGTGAAGAAGTGCCAGCAGCAGGAGTAGCCTTTGTCAAAGATATAACGCACAAACACGTGTTTGGAAATGCAAAGACAGGCTTGTGTGTGTATCCTCCATCCCAGAGCAGCTCAGCCATTCTTTGTACTGATAAAGACGAGACATCTTAGTGAAAGTCGATCATGGAGTTGCGCTTCTCTGCCCCACAGGTGTCTGCTGTGCAGCATGAGACCGCTCAGTATTAGATGACGCCACCCTCCGGTTTGTGAGGAATAACAGGCTGTGATTGTACCTCACTGCCTGGCTGTGGTGTCAAAATGAAAAATCTCCCATTACAGAATCCTAATTTGTTACTTTGAATTATAGGACTGGCAGCACCCTTTTATTTTAATTTTTTTTAAGCTTGTGTTTAACCCAGGGTAGTTGACAGTAATGTCAAACAGCTACTAATATAAAAACTGACAATCCAAGAGTAAGTCGTCCTTTAATGGGTTGTGGCGTATTGTGTTTGTGTCAGCAGAGTTTCATTAGTTTGAATTCATGTCAAATGTTTGTAGTTTTGAAAGTGGGGAGTTGGTCAGTGCCTGGGCTGACTGGCAGCACGAGGATGCACTGTGTGCCGACCAGAGGGAACAGGCCATGTTGGCCCTGTCGGCCTGAACAAGCTTTACTTGGCGTCTTTGTGGGGAAATGAATGTAGGTTTTAACTTGAGATTTCTAAGTTTTTAGTTTTACTCTTAATACTGCTTGCTGAATTGTTTAATTTTGCCACAGGTTTCATAGAATTAAGTAGTTTTGAAGGAAAAGGTACCTTTTTATTGCCCTGACTTTATCTTTTAAAGCTTGACTGATTTCATGAAGTGTTGTGTTGGTTTTATATAAATATTTACTAGTGGAATACTACTTCCACATTTATCAACAAATCCCATGAAAAGACTGAGAATTGATCCTAATAACCAGTGGGGCTCTGCAACTGATGGTTTAATTATTTAATATTCACCAGTAATTGTCTTAATGAAGTGATTAATGTATTCACATGTCTCATTTTAGATCAACAACCCTGACCAGATATCCAGTGTACTGGCATAGACGTACCAGAACGTTCACATTTGAGAAGCTTGAAACAAAGTTGTTTTTGCTTAAAATGATTAAATGATTCACATTTCAGAAATGATTGCTTGTTTTTTTAATTTGTCAGTCACCACAGTTCTATTAACTGTGTGATCTAGTCCGTTCCTCTGCCATGGAGTTCATTATTGTTTAGACTGGCTGTGTCTGAATCACTGCTCACTCATTATTTCTTATACAACAGTTCTTCACAGCTATGCAGGAAGTAGCGTGTACAGTTGTGCTCATACGTTTACATACCCTGGCAGATTAAAAAAAATTTTTTTTTTTTTGCCTATTTTGCAGAGAATATGAATGAAGACACAAACTTTTCTTTCAGTCATGGTTGGTGTTTGGCTGAAGCTGTTTATTGTCAAACAACTGTTTATTCTTTTAAATCATGACAACAAACTACCCAAATCATCCTGATCAAAAGTTTACATACCCCACTTCTTAATATTGTGTATTTCCCCCTTTAACATCAATGACAGCTTGAAGTCTTTTGTGGTAGTTGTGGATGAGTCTCCTTATCTTTTCAGATGGTAAAGCTGCCCATTCTTCTTGGCAGAAAGCCTCCAGTTTCTGTAAATTCTTGGGCTGTCTTGCATTAACAGCACATTTGAGATCTCCCCAGAGTGGCTCAATGATATTAAGGTCAGGAGATTGAGGTGGCCACTCCAGAACCTTTACTTTATTCTGCTGTAGCCAATGACTGGTCGATTTGGCCTTGTTTTGGATCATTGTCATGTTGGAATGTCCAGGTACGTCCCATGCACAGATTCCGGGCCGATGAGTGTAAAGTTTCCTCAGTATTTTTTGATAACATAGTGCATTCATCTTGCCATCAATTTTGACCAAATTTCCTGTGCCTTTGTAGCGCTCACATCCCCAAAACATCAGCGATCCATCTCCGTGTTTCACTGTAGGAATGGTGTACCTTTCATCATAGGCCATAGGTTGTGGCCAAAAAGTTCCATTTTGGTCTCATTACTCCAAAAGACTTTGTGCCAGAAGGTTTGAGGCTTGTCTCTGTGCTGTTTGGCATATTGTAAGCGGGATACTTTGTGGCATTTGCGTAGTAATGGCTTTTTTTTTTTTTTTCTGGCAACCCGACCATGCAGCCCATCTTTCTTCAAGTGCCTCCTTATTGTGCATCTTGAAACGGCCACACCACATGTTCTCAGAGAGCCCTGTATTTCACCTGAAGTTATTTGTGGGTTTTTCTTTGCATCCCAAATAATTTTCCTGGCTGTTGTGGCTGAAATTTTAGTTGGTCTACCTGACCGTTGTTTGGTTTCAACAGAACCTCTCATTTTCCACATCTTAATTAGTTTGAACACTACTAATTGGCATTCTCAGTTCCTTGGATATCTTTTTATATCCCTTTCCTGTTTTTATACAGTTCAACTACCTTTTCCTGCAGATCCTTTAACAATTCTTTTGTTTCCCCATGACTCAGAATACAGAAATGTGAGTGCAGTACTGTATTAAAGATGCAAGATCTGTCAGGAGTCCAGAAACTCATTGACCTTTTATGCACACTAATTACCAGCAAACGGATCAAGGTGAAGATGGTTGCCTTTTAATTGCCATTCACACCTGTTTGTCTCATGTCATCAGGCCAAAATCACCAGGGTATGTAAACCTTTGATCAGGGTGATTTGGGTAGTTTATGATTTTAAAAAGAGTAAACAGTTGTTTGACAAACGGCTTCAGCCAAACACCAACCATGACTGAAAAAAGTTGTTTTCATTCATATTCTCTGCAAAATGGCCAAAAAAATCTAAAATCTGCCAGGGTATGTAAACTTATGAGCACAACTGTATGCACTGGACACTGCCTGTTGTGATTCCATTGAGGGCACTAGACTGTCCGATGTGGTAGTTACTCACTATATTAAAAATGGGTAGTGATTTCTGATGCAGCCAGTTAAAAACAGCCAGCCACTGGCCTTAACACAGCATTGCAGCTTCTTTTGTGCTGGTCCCATGTGCACATCCTGCTGCCAGAAATACTTGCTGTGTAGTTACCTGCAGCAGAAAGTGGTTGCTAATCGCCTTTCTTTGCTGCAGTGCCCATGAAATGTAATATTAATGAACTGAGCTGCAGACAAACACTGTTTTGGTCTTTTCATGGAGTTTGACAAACTTTATAATATGACCAATTTTTCCCCTCTAAACTGAAGACAGGCCTGTTAAAATGAAAAAGGAAAATGTTTCTGCAATACAGCGTTATTAAACTCCCTGATGTGTGGTCAGTTGCACCAAAGTTTTCCTCTTCACAGAAAAATGTCTGCGTAGGGGAGGCAAGAGGGAACACTGAAGTGGGAACGTAAATTAATGTGAGGATGCACTTTGTTTGAAAGCCGTTAGTGATTTTTATACCATGACCAAAAGTAGTTTAGACGGTGTAGGTTGTCTAACAGTAAATGTTGTTTGTGACAGAAGGCAGTGTCTAAGGTACTGTGGGAGAATACTTTCTCTCATTCTGCCCTCGTACTTGAATAAGAAATGGTCTCAGTTTTGCACTGGAACATGGACAGGTCATTGTTTCAGATATAGTAGAGAAGTGATCTGCACTGCAGACAGGCCTGTGTGTGTGTGTGTGTGTGTTCACATTCCCCTGTCCATCAGTTTCATTTATTCAGTCTGATTTACTGGAATTAAGAATTGCCTAAAACCTTCAGTTATTTTGCCTTTGAGACCAGTAACTGAAGAGAAGCTGACACATCAAAAAGTCTAACAGAACAATTTTGGCATTTTCCAGTGAAGGGGATTTAAAAACAGTACTGTGTATAGCGGCACACCTCTTGTTTTTAAGAACATATGTTTCTGAAAACTAACTTTCTTTCATAGATGTTTTTGTTTGTGACTGAATAAAAGGATTTTGACGATGACTTCCATTTGATTTCTTCTGCTGAAAATGAGAATTGGTTTTGTTTCTGGAGCTAGAAGTGATGAGCAGATTTTGTTTACTGGGGACAGAGCCAGGAGATGTACACCAATCAGCTATAACATCACCACTGACTGGTGAAATGACATGTTACAGTGGCATCTGTCAGTGTGTGGGGTATATTAGACAGCAAGGGAACATTCAGTCCTCGAAGTAGTTGGAAGCAGGACAAAAAAGGCAAGTGTAAGGATCTGAGCAGCTTTGACAAGGGCCAAACTGATGCTGACGACTGGGTCAGAGCATCTCCCAGACTGCAGGTCTTGCTGGGTGTTCCCGCTCTGCAGTGGTTAGTATCTGCCATCAGTATCTAAGGAAGGATAAACAGTGAACCAATGACACGGTCTTGGGCTATAGTGGTGATATCACACCTATAGTGGGGAGGCTGTTGAATTTGTCTAAAAAGTGATCTCTAACTCATCCTCAGGACCACAGTTATTGCTCCTTTTACATATTCTTATCACTAAACGGTAGACAAATTCCTGCCTTTCCAGACAGTATAAATATGGAAGCAAACAGATTAACGCAAGATGTGCTATAAGCTGCCAGTGACACGAGGCCCTGATTTACTGGAATTAAGAATTGCCTAAAACCTTCAGTTATTTTGCCTTTGAGACCAGTAACTGAAGAGAAGCTGACACATCAAAAAGTCTAACAGAACAATTTTGGCATTTTCCAGTGAAGGGGATTTAAAAACAGTACTGTGTATAGCGGCACACCTCTTGTTTTTAAGAACATGTGTTTCTGAAAACTAACTTTCTTTCATAGATGTTTTTGTTTGTGACTGAATAAAAGGATTTTGACGATGACTTCCATTTGATTTCTTCTGCTGAAAATGAGAATTGGTTTTGTTTCTGGAGCTAGAAGTGATGAGCAGATTTTGTTTACTGGGGACAGAGCCAGGAGATGTACACCAATCAGCTATAACATCACCACTGACTGGTGAAATGACATGTTACAGTGGCATCTGTCAGTGTGTGGGGTATATTAGACGGCAAGGGAACATTCAGTCCTCGAAGTAGTTGGAAGCAGGACAAAAAAGGCAAGTGTAAGGATCTGAGCAGCTTTGACAAGGGCCAAACTGATGCTGACGACTGGGTCAAAGCGTCTCCCAGACTGCAGGTCTTGCTGGGTGTTCCCGGTCTGTACTGGTCAGTACTTGCCTACAGTGGTCTAAAGGAGGACACAATAAACCAGCGACAGGGTCATGGATGCCAAAGACTTTATGGTAAGGGTGACCTACTGTAGATTAAACTTAAATTTCATTCATCCTTTTCAAAAGATTCCACTTTATATCTTAAAATGGCTAACAATGAGAAACACTGTCTCTGAAGTGAATCTTATAGTGTTATAACTGGAGTGGGGAGGCTGCTGAATGTCGAAGTCACTGCTTTTACGCAGGTTTTTCCACTGAATGGACGACACATTTGTGCTTTTCCTGACAGAACTGTGGAAGTAAACAGATGCACAGTGACCTGCAGTGACAAGTGCAAACCAACTGCTGCATTGGCTCCTGTTATTAGGCAGATGGTCATAATGTTATGGCTGACTTGTGTATAAATGTATAGCGTAGGTACTTTATTGATCCACCACATATAACATTTCTACGTGAGTACACTTGAGGTGAGGTTTACACTGCAGGCTGTAAACCTGAGGAAGGCTGCTGGACCGGACGGCGTCCTAAGATGTGTGCTGTAGGACTGTGTGGACCATCTAGCTGGAGTCTTCACCAGGATCTTCAACCAGTCTCTGGCCCAGTCCACTGTCCCACCCTGTCTGAAGTCTTCCATCCTAGTTCCCCTGCCTAAGAAACCCAACATAACCAGCCTCAGTGACTACTGAGTGTTTTGAGAAACTGGTACGGGGACACATTGTCATTCCTCCCACCAACATCTGACCCACACCAGTTTGCATACAGGGCAAATAGATCCACAGAGGACACTGTAGCCACAGCCCTTCATGCTGTGCTGTCCCACTTGAAGCATCAAGAGAACTATGCACAGCCGCTCTTTGTGGATTATACAGTCGGGTCCATAAATATTGGGACATCGACACAATTCTAACATTTTTGGCTCTATACACCACCACAATGGATTTGAAATGAAACGAACAAGATGTGCTTTAACTGCAGACTGTCAGCTTTAATTTGAGGGTATTTACATCCAAATCAGGTGAACGGTGTAGGAATTACAACAGTTTGCATATGTGCCTCCCACTTGTTAAGGGACCAAAAGTAATGGGACAGAATAATAATCATAAATCAAACTTTCACTTTTTAATACTTGGTTGCAAATCCTTTGCAGTCAATTAGAGCCTGAAGTCTGGAACGCATAGACATCACCAGACGCTGGGTTTCATCCCTGGTGATGCTCTGCCAGGCCTCTACTGCAACTGTCTTCAGTTCCTGCTTGTTCTTGGGGCATTTTCCCTTCAGTTTTGTCTTCAGCAAGTGAAATGGAAAACAACTGTGGTGGATGACCGAAGAATTCTTTCCCTGGTGAAGAAAACACCCTTCACAACAGTTGGCCAGATCAAGAACACTCTCCAGGAGGTAGGTGTATGTGTGTCAAAGTCAACAATCAAGAGAAGACTTCACCAGAGTGAATACAGAGGGTTCACCACAAGATGTAAACCATTGGTGAGCCCCAAAAACAGGAAGGCCAGATTAGAGTTTGCCAAACGACATCTAAAAAAGCCTTCACAGTTCTGGAACAACATCCTATGGACAGATGAGACCAAGATCAACTTGTACCAGAGTGATGGGAAGAGAAGAGTATGGAGAAGGAAAGGAACTGCTCATGATCCTAAGCATACCACGTCATCAGTGAAGCATGGTGGTGGTAGTGTCATGGCGTGGGCATGTATGGCTGCCAATGGAACTGGTTCTCTTGTATTTATTGATGATGTGACTGCTGACAAAAGCAGCAGGATGAATTCTGAAGTGTTTCGGGCAATATTATCTGCTCATATTCAGCCAAATGCTTCAGAACTCATTGGACGGCGCTTCACAGTGCAGATGGACAATGACCCAAAGCATACTGCAAAAGCAACCAAAGAGTTTTTTAAGGGAAAGAAGTGGAATGTTATGCAATGGCCAAGTCAATCATCTGACCTGAATCCGATTGAGCATGCATTTCACTTGCTGAAGACAAAACTGAAGGGAAAATGCCCCAAGAACAAGCAGGAACTGAAGACAGTTGCAGTAGAGGCCTGGGATGAAACCCAGCATCTGGTGATGTCTATGCATTCCAGACTTCAGGCTGTAATTGACTGCAAAGGATTTGCAACCAAGTATTAAAAAGTGAAAGTTTGATTTATGATTATTATTCTGTCCCATTACTTTTGGTCCCTTAACAAGTGGGAGGCACATATGCAAACTGTTGTAATTCCTACACCGTTCACCTGATTTGGATGTAAATATCTTCGAATTAAAGCTGATAGTCTGCAGTTAAAGCACATCTTGTTCGTTTCATTTCAAATCCATTGTGGTGGTGTATAGAGCCAAAAATGTTAGAATTGTGTCGATGTCCCAATATTTATGGACCTGACTGTAGCTCTGCATTCAACACCAGATGGTGGACCTGGGAATTCCACATTCCACCTGCACATGGATTAAGAGCTTGTCCGGACGCAGCCAGAGGGTGAGAGTGGGCCCACACACGTCCACGGCTCTCAGCCTCAGCACTGGTTCCCCACAAGGCTGTGTGCTGAGCCCCCTGCTCTACATGCTGTACACCCACCACTTGCCCCCCCGCCCACCATGGCAACACCATTGTAAGTTTTGCTGATGACACCACGGTGATGGGGCTCATCTCTGGGGGGAATGAGAGTGCCTACAGGGATGAGCCTGAGGCTGATAGTGTGGTGCAGGGAGAACATTCTGCTCCTTAATACCTCAAAGACTAAGGAGGTCATTGTTGACTTCAGGAGGAAGAAAACTGACATCTTGCCACTGTATATCAGCGGGGACTGTGTGGAGAGGGTGCCGGCCTTCCGCTTTCTGGAAGTCCATATTGAGGAGGATCTGACCTGGGGTGTGAATACCTCTGGACTGCTTATAAAGGCCCAGCAAAGACTGTACTTCCTACATGTGCTCAGGAAGAACATCTCCCAGAAACAACTGGTGTCCTTCTATTGGTGCACATACTGTATGTGTGTATGGTACAGCTCAGAGGAAAATGCTCCAGAAGGTCATTAATACAGCCCAGGAGATCACCGGCTGCCCTCTCCTCACTCTGGAAGAACTACACAGTCCCTGCTGCCTCAAAAAAGCTCAGAACATTGTTAAGAACACTTCACACCCAGAACGTTCACTCTTTGAACTGCTGCCATCAGGAAGATGGTTCAGAGTGATCAAATCAAGGGCCACTTCTTCTTCTTCCGGCTGTTCCTGTTAGGGGTCGCCATAGCGAATCATCTGTTTCCACTTAACTCTATCGTCGGCATCCTCTACTCTTACCCCAATTAACTTCATGTCCTCTTTTAGCACATCCATATATCTCCTCTTTGGCCTTCCTCTTGACCTCTTGCCTGGCAGCTCCATCTCCTTCTACCAATATAACCACTATCCCTCCTCTGCGCATGTCCAAACCATCTCAGTCTGGCCTCTCTGACCTTGTCCCCAAAACAGCCGACCTGAGCTGTCCCTCTGATGTGCTCATTCCTAATCCTGTCCATCCTGGTCACTCCTAAAGAGAACCTCAACATCCTCATCTCTGCTACCAACGTGCCCGTTGAAGTCTATCACCACTCACTCCCCTCTGGGAATACTCTCCATCACCTCATCTAACTCACTCCAGAATCTCTCCTTCTCTTCTAACTCACACCCTACTTGTGGAGCATAACCACTGACTACATTCAACATTACCCCTTCAATTTCCAACTTCAGACTGATCACCCTGTCTGACACTCTTTTCACCTCTAAAATATTCCTCACGAGCTCCTCCT